ATATATATATATATATATATATATATATATATAAAGAACAGTTGAAGTATAGTACAAATTATAGTATTTACAAATACCATATACGCATTTAAGCAAACTTTGTGTACATTTTAAAGCAATGAAAATGTCATCATTTTGTATCTGGAGTCCTCAATTCACAGATGCTGGGTCATATTAAGTCTTCATAAGAGGCTAAGTTAAAAAAAAAAAAAGAAGCTAAGAAACGCGGAAGCGTCGCGTTTTTAAGGTGGAACGATAGCGTCAAAAAGAAGCTGCGAATAAGAAGCTGAATTCAGCCTTCAGCATTGCAGTTTACAGAAATTCAAACATATATAGTACATCAGGTCTTTATCAAATAAACCTCTTTGAAATGTCAACTTTTCATTAGTAAAGTTCTGTGTTTATTTATTTATAATCGGAATAGATTAACACAGATATTGAAGTCTAATATTACCAATACTTCAGCTGTCACGTAATATATATATATATATATATATATATATATATATATATATATATATTTCAAATTGAGAATATTGAATTTTGTTGCATATTAGCGTCCAATAATTTATTATTTTAATTCAGTGTAATTCAGTGAAAGTCACACACTCATTTGACCTTGAAATAGCAAAACCATCCCATCACTGATTCTTGAGAAAAGAGAACAAATGCCCCACAACTTCACCTCCCATTAGTTTTAATTTGAACAGAAAAACATGTTTTTGAGTGATATTGAGTGATGAACAGACAAGAAAGCAGACCTTTACTGATTACAATAAGTATTGAATTAGTAATATATAATCATTGAAAATTACGATATTTACATATTATCGTATTCTAATAGTTAATTAAATTGTTAATGATAACTTTCTGTTAAATGACGCTAAAGATTTGGCAGCAACAAATGAAAATACATAATCCAGGGATAAATATCAGTGTTGTAAAGTTTTTGTGTCCCTAAGCTGCACCCTTAAAGCCATGCCACATTAGCCTTTTCAGTTCCCTGTTAGCCCAATCTCAAGCCAGTTAGAACTATCTCACAGACTATTACCTGCACCTGTGTCCACAGCTTGTGCTTTTTTGTTGCATGTGGTTGTACTGTGCAGAGGACTGAGTTTTACGCCTTTCATTCTGTTTTTCCTGCGTGTGCGTACTTGACCATGTAAGTGCCTTTGTGTGATGCTAAATATGATTTTGTATGACTTAAATTGGGCCTAAATGTGTTTATTTTCATGCTTGCTCTAGTTCCTGTTTAAGCATGTGCTTTAGTTATTTAATGTGCAGTTGATGGAACATTGTGGTTGCCTTGTACCTTATTTAGCAGTTTTTTTTGGTAAACTGAAACTCTATATATCTGTTCCCTTTATAGAAACCACATGCACATCTACATGCACAAAACCTCCTTTGAAGTACAATAAACTTTCTTATACCTGGTTTGACTAGACTGGACCTGTTCTTACCGACAGCCCCACTGGCTTCAAGCTAGCTACCTAAACATCTGCAGCCTCCTTATCATGGTTTTCCTTTTCATGGTCTAAGAGACTCAGAGACAAAACTCCTGTTGAGCTGCACTCAAATGTCTTTACCGAAACAGTAGAGGTCTGCAGTGTGCCTCATTTAGATCAAGGCTTTGTGTTTATACAAAGCGAAATTAAGATTATAAGAGGGAAAGAGTTTACAACTTTGTGAGTTAAAGAGAGGGATAATGTGAATGTGAGTGTTTCTTTGTGTCACTCAGCTGTGCGTCTCAGTTGTTTCTCACAGGAAGCTGTTTGGTCTCACACAGAGACACTGAAGTATCAGAATAATACAATCTAAATCCAGCACAGAGGGGTTCAGTGAATGTGCTGTTGAATGTGTGTATGTGTGCAAGTGTGTGTGTGTCAGAGACGCTGTAGAAGGACAGAGTGCCGGCCGACCAGTCCAGATACACTCCTACTCTGTTAGAGCGACTTGAAGAGACAGATATGTTTGTTTTCTTATTATTGTGCCACAAAGTAAAACTGGTATATGAGCAGTTTAGACTCCAGGAAACTTCATTGTATCCAAACCACGAGTTCTCACCATGTCCTTTCCTGCTGTTTCCTTTATATGCCACTGATATATTAACCCCTCCACTGCTCCATTCAGCCTCCCAGTAACAGCGTCCAGTCAGACTCTCTCTACACAGAACCTGATGACACTCAAATCTCTCTGGATTATCAGGATATGGCTGCTTGTCTCTCACACGTGCCACCTTTCTGTTCCTCTCAGACAGAGACAGGTGAGTGTTTGCTGTGTTTGGATCCAGTGTAAGATTGCATGCATCTGAACACAAGAGAGATTATTACATTTGTAACACACACACACCAAAAAAAAAACTATGATCAAAGGTATTTGTGTGTGTGTCTGTGTGAGAGAGAGTGAAAAAGACTTACATTTCTGTAGTCCTGCTGTAATCCTGAACTCTCCTCCATGATCCACACTAAAAGAAAAACAAAATATTAAAAAATATATCAAATTAAAGTGATTATCTGAATCTCTATTACAACATCAAACATAATTTTTTCTCATTTAGTCTATGATTTCTGTGTTTGTATCTCCAATCTCTTTTTGCTCTCAAACAGCAATGCGAATTTACTTTCTAGATTAGCAGCAAGCTTTGAATTGATGTTTTGGGATCAGAGACTTGAGTCTGTTTCTCGGTTGCTGCTGTTATGAGTCACAAGCAGCTGTTGAACTGAATCAAGCAGTGTTGTTTAAAATGTGCAGATGTCATACTTAAATAAAAGTAAAGATCAAGTTTCTGTTGGAATATGTAAGAATTAAACTATACTTCACCCAAAGATTAAAATTGTTCATTTACTCACCCTCATATTGTTGCAAAACACAATATGTTTTGAAGAACAATTTTTTTCATGCAATGAAAGTTAAAGGGGTCAAAAAAACTTAAATATTTTAAAATATCTTCCTTTATGTTCCACAGAAAAGAACTGAATACAGGTTGGAAACATCATAAGGGTGAGTTAATCATGACTTTATTTTTAATTTTTTGGTGAACTCTCCCTCAAGAACTGCTGAACAATTCACTGAGAAAGTGTCCTACTACAAATACAAAGCAGATTATACAGAACAGACATAGAGATTTGGGGATGAGCTGTTTTGACTTGGGTCTTTATGCAGCTATCCATTTTTTTATGTATTCAAAGTACTTAAGTACTTGTGTTGTTATAAATGTTACTATTTGTTTATCACATGGCATTAATTTTTTTTTTTACACATTCTTCAGTACACCTAGTCAATTACTGATTCATACACAACACCTCTGTTAAATGCTTGGTGAGTGTATTTTATTATTTGACTTTGACATTCATTTGCTATTACAAATCAGTGAAATATAAAAGTTAACAAATATTTATAGTAAAGTAGAAATATCCAAAACTGACCGTAATTACAAATAATTTATACTTTATTATAATCCTATGGAATCAAGATAATCTTCAATCACAGAGTTCAAACATTATTTTCCTGTGCAGTATGTATATATGTGCTGTATGCATGGAGCTATATACAGGTGCAATCAAAATTATTCAAGACTGTAATAATTAACAAATTTTCTGAAGATCAAGAGCTTTTTAAAAAATATTATCTATAGTTAAGTGGGATAATAATGGTGATAGTCACTATAAAGTAATATAAGGGCCCGAAGATCACGGGCATCCAGTATGGTTTTCTGGCCTTGACCCTTACGCACAGAGATTGTTCCAGATTCTCTGAATCTTTGGATGATATTATGCACTGTAGATGATGATAACTTCAAACT